ACAACAATGCGGGTGATATTCCAAAACAGAACAAGAAGAAACATTTGCTAGTCATGATGGCCCATCTGCACCATAATCCTGTGGATGATGTCATCAAGTACGCTGAAATGAGCCAGTTGCTCAACAGCGTGGCCTGCATCCGTCAAACAATACGAACAAACAGCAATAACGAGGACGATGTCTTTACCATTGTTGTCGGAGACTTTAATGCACAACCCACCAACCAAGTTTACCGCTTGGCGGTGATGGGGGGAACACCTACCCTTTCGAGTCTCCAGGAGGAAACCATGGTCCTCCCCGCCTGGTTGGAGCAACGTCAAGCATGGCTTCCCTTGTACCAGCAAATCTACCAACAGACAACCATGGTTGGAACATTGGATAGTGTCTACAGTGTGTACAACGAAAAGGGTGGCGAATGTGGACATCCTCGTTACACCAATTTGACGGACGGTTTCAAAAACAATATTGACTACATCTTGTACGACAAGAGCAAGCTATGCCCTATCCGCTTGCTGGAACTGGATGTCGCAACCTATGAAAAGGAAGACTATTTGCCGAGTCAGTTCCATGCGTCGGATCATGTCCCACTTTGGGCGGAGTTTGAATGTAGGTGACAGGAAACTACAATGTACTATAGTACCTAATCAATCAGCTAGCTAGCAGTCTGAATGCATGAAAAGTTTGCTGTGCCTACCTCCTTTGTTTCACGTAGTTTCATCCTCATAACAAAGATTGTTATCGACAATTCAGAGGACTTGGTCCAAATTCCATAATGACTTGGTACTTCATTGGGCAACATTTTCATTATTCTAAATTCGATAAAACTCCTTGGCGGTGCCATAAAAGATACGATCCACGTCTTCTTGCGAATAGCCTTCCAAACAAGTGGCAATGAATTGGACATATTCCATGGGTGTTGGGCCAACATCACTCAAGAAATCGGAATCAGATACGGCTCCATTCTTCCACCAATTCAATGCTGCCATGCATCGTTGTGGTGAGAAGAGCGCGACCACTTCTCGGACCAAACTCTGGAGAAACTCTCGCCGTTGTGGGGTCTTGATCCATCCCGGAATGGCATATCCCAGCATGGAGAGTTTGACATAGACATGAGGGACCTCTGCCATGGCTTTCATTCCGGCCCGCCATTTTGCCAGTTCTTGTGGATTGGGTGTTGAATTGTCCTTGTGTTCCTCATCATCTGGACCCAGCAAAGTTCGTGGTTTTCCTAAGTGATCAATGACAACAGGAACATTTGGATGACGGGCACAAAGTCGAGCCGCCGCTGGCAATTGTGCTGGGGCACATTGCAGATCAAATGACAGCTTGTGCTTGGCCAATAGAGAAAATCCATTTTCAAATTCAGGTACTGCCTCACCGTCGTATCCACCGTTGGAACCACGAAGATAGTCGACGCCATCGTGACGAGTGGTAGCCACATGGGTGGCAGTGTTGGGTTCAAATTTGCCCACGCAATCCACAATCCAACGAATGCCATGGACTTTCGGGCTAGTAGCGCAGAGTTTGGTCAAGTCATTGTCAATAGTAGGACTGGTCAAATCGGCCGATCCTACAATCACTGCGACCGTGCATTTGTGGTCGTTACTAGCGATGGATTCGATCCATGCCGCTTCTTGTGCCCCATCATCCGGCATGCATTCTACATGGACCGAAGTATCTAGGATAATGCCCTCTTGCTTTAATGGTTCCACCACATCCGAGTGATATTGGTCCGCCAGGTAGACTTCATCCTTCAGGAGAGAACCCAAAAACTTTTGAAATGTCTGGATGTTGCCAGACTCACGGGTATCCACAAAATGGTGATGAGCATCAATCACTCGGCTGGGAAGTTTCAAGGACGACATGGCTACTAGGGTATTCGTATTCGCAGCGGTAATAATGGGGATGGCAGTGGTGTATCTTGAGGAAGAGAGGGACAATGACCACGTTGGGAGCTCTCTAGCTCTGTCGTCGTTTGAAAGGGTTGCTTGTGGACAGTCGGTTCTTGGATCTTGGATCCAATTAGCTGCACGCACATTGCCCCACTACTGGCGGTAGCGTAGTCTACCGTTCGCCCGCAGACTTTGCAAGGTCCTCCAATGATGATCCGACCGTTTTTCCTTCCTCCCACCGCATTCCTTTTCCAACCCCATACGGTTAGTAACCCTCTTTCATTCTCTACACAGCGGAGAGAAACCATGATGGAAGCATCAGCCCTCTTTGCTGCAATTGACAATCCAGTGCCTACCAGCAACTGGAGTGTCTCCAAGCATCAGCCATTCGAAATGGTGTTGATGGCCAAGGCTGATTTGCAAACTGTCAAAACTTTCTACGAATTCTATCCTGAAGCATTGACCAGGCCACTCGGCCGAAAAAGTGGAGAATTTTACCTCGGCAGGTTAACTGCCTGAGTTCTCTACCCCTTTAATGGCAAATATTCTGTCTGTGGGATCCCCCTGGTTTTTGTCTGTGGGATCCCCTCGTTTTGTGTCTGTGGGATCCCCTATTCCGGTGAAGCCAGGGTATAAGGATAGAGATAATGTAAGCTGGCAAAACTGGAAATTGAAGGTTCAATAAAAGTTAGGGGTAGGAATATATCAATGTAATTTAAGGTTAGTGCACTCAGGACAAAAACACAATAAGCCAGTAGGTGTTGTAAATTTAGAGTTACACGATCGAATGATAGCTGTAAATTATGGGTTAGCCCGTGGCTACACCAATGCTAGCTTAATATAAAACAGAAGGTTACAATGAGGGAATGATAGTGGGCGGCAACACACGACGAAGTCGGGTGTTGTCGCCAGGGCTAGCATACATAAAAAAGAAGGTTATAATGAGGGAATGATACCGGGCGGCAACACACGACGAAGTCGGGTGTTGTCGCCAGGGCTACCTTGAAAGAAGTATGCAATCTCAAACATGATCCTCTTTCTTCTATTTGTCTTTCTGCCGAGGTATCGCAGCTCCCGCTGGTGATAACTCCTCAGCAGGGTCCGGAAACGGTACTAAATGACTTAAGCTTTTCTGTATTTTGCAGTCTTGTTTATGTTCAAAAGAAGATTTCATTTTCGAACCGCTTTCAAATTCACACGACTCAACTTTTGATTCCTGAGTAGTGCGTACATTAGTGCGTGAAACTACTAGTTATACGCCGGCATACGAATAGTTTCACGCCATCGGCGTGAAACAAGGGATAGTTTCACGCCAAGGCTCGCGTGAAACTAAGTTTCACGCGGCGTGAAACTATGGCTAATTTCACGCCGATCGATGTGAAACGCCGATTTGGCGTGAAACTAGCTAGTTTCACGCCGGGCGTGAAACTAGCTTCATGATAGTAGTAGACTACGTGGCTCCTGCAACTACAAGGGGAATGGAAGCACGCAGCAGTTCCAACAAGCGTAGGGTCCCTTTACAGTGGTGGGCACCATCATGTGTTTGGGTAGCGTCAACGTTATTCTCACTCCAGAAGAAGTCCTCCTCAGGGGGCTTGAGTTGGTGGGCTTCGAAGCGAAACGGCAGAACTCTGTTCAGCATAAGAAGAACTTATCGCGGTTCCGTACCCACTACTCGAGCGACCCATCCGTCTA